GCATTTTTGCCCTCAAAAAAAAAAATTCATGTGCTTGGTCCTGTGAACACTTCGAAGCTGGTGACTGTGCCTATTGCAATTGCTCCAGTCTCAAGAGCTGTCTGGGGCCTAGAAACCCTTTGTGATGTAGATAATTTTTAACATATTATGCATTATCCATTACCTATTTTGAATAAATAAATGCTATTTTGATATATCCATGCACTACCCTGATACTCTGCTTTTTACTGGGCTCTTTTCCCAAAAAATGAGCAGTATCTGTGACCACAGTGCAGTAAAGACTCTTTAAACAATGCAGAAAAGATTAATGATATAATCTCAAACAATGCAAAATATTTGTATAATAGCTTCACATGACTATAAATTAATTTCAACATTTCATTACTAAGAATATACACTGGGTTTTCCACCTTAACAGCATTTGCTAGGTTCCACACTTGCCTCATTTGGTTGAATCACCTGTTGGGAAGAAGAAACTATTGTTCGAGAAAAAACAACAACAAAAAACATATTGTTGTAAAGTTAACCTTGCTTTTTTAAGAAGCAGAGATGGACTCTGCTGGTCTGATCAAGCATGTCCTTGTCCTCCACCCCAGGGAAGCCAGAAGTTTCCTTGCACTGCTGTAAGGAAGATTAGTCAGCACGAATAGGGAGCGTCAGGCAGAGCTGGGGGCAAGGCAAGGTTTCCAGGGAGTCACCAAGACCCAGCCACTATGGCAAGGGTGGGATAGTAACTCGCTAGAACACCCATGCTTATAGCTGTTATTCCTGAGAGCAAACACTCTCCCTCCTGACAAAAGTTAGGCTGTTATAGATGTTCATTAATTCACTGTTAAAAGCTTATCAAGAGAATTTTGACAGATGTTTGTATTTTGAGACGACAGCAACCTGCTGCATACCTCACACCTTGAAAGGCCCTCTCCTCACCAGGCACCAAGATGGGCTCAGCTGCTTTCATGGTTTGAAACACAAAGATTAACTTTCTCTTTGTGCTGCAGTGTTTGGGAACTCCGAATTGCTGCTGTCCCCAGCAGGAAAAATCTAATGCTCAATGGATTCTCCCACGCAAACTGATTGTAGGGACAGAAGTGTGGCCTGGTTGTGGGAGGAGGAGTGTTTAGCTGCTGCCAGGTTAAAGTGAGAGAAAGGCAGAAATTCATCTTCAGTGGTTGCTGACACACTTACTAGCTGTTTTCAAACAAAATTGATACAGTTTGACATTCTTTTTGTAACAGCAGGTGAATTATTTTTGTAAAATAGGAATAACAGAAGTTTTTTATACAAGGCAACCAAGTTAAAGAGAAAAAAAAAAACAAACAACGTTTTGGTGATAGCTGAGATTCTTGTAGGATGTCCAAGACACGTAGCTGGCCCACACTTTAGCTATAAGCAGCTTAGGAACAGACATCTAAGTTCTGGCAAGGTAATTTGTGGAAGAGGTCCTGTACTATTGAGCTCTGGGAAAAGATTATTCTACTCATTTCTCCTGTAAGCACATGTGACTTCAAAGGGAAATCAATGCTAAGGAGCTAAGGATTTTTCAGAAGGAATTAATTTAGATTTTTACTCCACCATATCAGCATTTAAAGTTGACAAATAGTTGTGTGTATATATATATATATACATATATATATAATCATCTCATTACAAGTGTGCTGGATAGACAATGAAAAGCTATTTTAGAATTCCACAAAGCAACCTGCAGATTGAAAAGAAAGTTGCAATACAAGGTTCTTCTCTTACAGCCTTTTGATATAAAGAAGTACTTAAACATCTAAAACATATAGGAAACATAATATACACCTGAAAGCAGAATCTACTCCTAAATCACCAAATTAAAAGGGTTGTAATATGAATGCTCTTCGAGACATGCTCTGCCTCATTTATCTCAAACAGGAATAGCTAAAAGAAAACTTCATAGTCTTTCTATTACCATTAGCTGCAGTAGCTACAATGGCTGTAGCTGGGCCAAAATACACCCCTGTCCCCGAGAGCCTGAAGATCTTCACAGGACCTGTGCACAGTTCTGTGTGGTTATAGAGTGAGCAGTCCAGCACAGTGACACAGTGACAGAACAAAGCCATACAAAAGCCCTTAAACACGTGCATTTCACATATATTGGCTCATTTATACCTTTTGTTTTCTTTAAATTAAGACAACTATTTTTATGCAGGAGTATCAGCAAACTCTGTAAATTGGGATATTCTAAGTAAGTAATGCAAACAGATAATGTCACTTCAGAAAAACTTTTGAGGTAAAGCTCTTCCCCTCATGATGGCCATGGAAATTATATTTTTTGCAACTGACACTGAATTATTTATTGTGCATTGTTACAACATGCAGCAAAGGTACATAAGGTGATTGAAAGGACTCCCTTAAGGCTGGTTCCCCTCTCCGACCCCAAGAGGATGGCAACCAGCAGGTTCTGAAGTTACTTACCACAACTGAGTGTGATCCTGGCAAGATTAACTAGGCAACCGCCTCAATGAAGAGAGGATGTACAGAAAGCACGTTTAATTGTTTCGCCATCATGAAGAATCAGATACACCTTCGTAAGCATCAATTAATCGGGTGTATCCAGGAAAGATCTCTGCCAGATAAGAGCAGGAAAGATATGGCTCGGAGCGCATAAAAAAATGAGGATTACAGGGAAGGTTGTCCTAAAAACGCTCACGATTTTATTTGCCCATGAGACTGCGCTCCCCGCAACAAACTACTCGTTGGTCGTTTGTATCTGAGAGCCTCCTGCACGCTCCGGCTCGCCTTCCTCGGCGGGAGCGGGGCAAGCAAACCGCAAACTCCGGGAGCCCTGGGGAAGCCGGGGCCTGGCGCTCCGAGCGCTGCCCTGTGCGGCCTCCGCGGGCGGAGCTCG